AGAATTGAGTGAGGTAATCTGCCTGGATACCTTCAGGTAATCATCCAGTGCTTTTAGGGGTCCCAAGTTACTTAATGCCACAAAGGCTGTTTTTCTAAAAATGTCGATATTTCTCCATATAGTACTATGTGACTATGAATAATAAAACCCTATAATTCCAGAAGAACTAAAATTATAGTAGCCTAAAAAGTCAGAGAAAAGACTACAGTGGGTATAAGTAGGCTCACCAAAAGTGAGCTGGATGTGACAAAAAAAAAGATATCATTAAGGTCATAAATGAATGGAAAAGTTGGTGCATACACCTATTTATCGATCTTTTGTCTCTCCCATTACAATGTATGCTTTTTGAAGGCTGGGAGAGTTTCTGTTCCTCTGAATTTCTAGCATTTAACACAGCATCTCACATACAGTATGCACTAAAGAAATGCTTATTGACTGACTGACTGAGACCCTCACTAACTAATTGCTAATTTTCCCCAATCCACAGCAACTCCAGGAAAGGGAAGGAAAAACAAACCATCCATAAGAAATGTGCATAATAAAGCAAAATGAATATAGAAATGGTCCATGTCTGAAAATTATGTCTCATTCTGCAGTTTGAGACCATCACTTCTTTATCAGGGGGTGGTAGCTTGCTTCACCATTGCTCCTTTGGACTCATAGTTGGTCATTTCACTGATTAAACTTCTTAAGACTTTGAATTTGCTTTTTTTTATAATCTTATTATTATGCAAAATTTTTTATGCTTCTGTTCATTTCATTCTGTATGAGTTCATAGAAGACTACCCAGATTTCCTTGAACCTATCTCTTTGATCATTGCTTAGAGCACAATAACATTCCATTACATTCCTATACCATAATTTGTTCAGACATTCCCAAATTGATGGGCACCTTCTAAATTCACAATTCTTTGCCACTACAAAAGGAACTGTTACGTTTGCATGTATGTATAATATATTTTTGTATATGAATATGTTGGTCTATAAGGAATACAGTGGCCTCTCTGACTAAATGAAAAAAAAGCTCAGAGAAGTAAAAAACTCTGAGTCACTCAAGTCAATAAGCATCAAATCAGTAAATATTTATTAAGCCTTCTATGCACCAGGCAGAATGCTAAGCATTAGATATGCAAATATAAACAGAAAGACAGTCCCTATCCTCATGGAACTTACATTTTAATGGGAGAAGACAACACAGGAAAGGAAAATGACAAGAAGGATGGGAAATTGTGGTGAAAGTCAAAGTAAGAGCTATAGTAATGGAAGAAGTCCATAAGGAAGATTGAATGTCGGCTAGCTACCAATTCCCAGCATCCCACCAACAAGCGCCAGTAAGACCACTAACATATGAGGAATGAGCTCCCCACTCCCTTTCCCAATGAGATCTTGATACAAGTTTCTTTAAGATTAAGATTTTTCTGGGTGGTTTTTATTAAATTTTGAGCCCCTATCCAGGTAGTTAAGGTCTTTGGGTTTATTTAACTTGCTGCTATTAGGTTCATTTGCCTCTATAATGTTATGTACTTAATCTGTTCCACTGTTTTGATTGAATTCTTTATTTTTTAACCAGTAAAAATAGTTTTGAAGATTACTGCTATTTAATATATTTTAATATCTGGTTTTTCTTCTCAATTTTTTTTCATCATTTTTATAGTGATTCTTGATCTGTTGTTTCTCCAGACGAATTTTGTTGCATTTTTTCTAGCTCTAAAAGGCAATCTTTTTGTATTTTTTTTGTGTGGTACAGAATAGGTAAATTGATTTAGATAGTATAATCACTTATATCATTAACCTAGCCATGAGCAATTAATATTTCTCCAATTATTTAGTTCTCTATTTCTGTACAATGTTTTGTCATTGCATTTACATTAAGTATATGTCTTAGTAACAGATTTCTAAATATTTCATATATTCTGTAGGGCTTTTTTAATGGAATATTTCTTTTTGTCTCTTCCTACTGGGTTTTGTTGGTAGTATACAAAGATGATTTGTGCCATTTTGTTTTATATCCTGGTAGTTTACTGAAACAATTGAAATAATGGGATACTTTCAACTGAAATAGTTGAATCTTTAAGGTTCTCTAAATAGATAATCCTATCATAGTGATAGCTTTGTTTCTTCTTTGCTCATGTTCATTACCTCAACTTATTTTTTTATTCCTTATTACTATAGCTAGTATTTCGAGTAGTATATCAAATAATAGTGATTCAATGGACATCCTTGCTTCACTCTTGTTTTAATTAGAAAGACTCAAAGCATTTTCCCATCACATACATGCTGGGCTTCGGTTTTAAATGATAGAACTTTTAAAACTATGACTTGGCACCTTGTATATATCATATCAGCTATGAGAATGTTAAAGGGATACACCTATGAAAATGTTCTGAATTTGGAGTGTTAGGTCCTACATTTGAATTCAAGCTCAGCCACGTACCCGATGAATGACGTTGGGAAAGTAACGTAACCTCTCTGTGCCTTAGTTTCTTCATCTATAAAATAA